GCAACAAAGCCCAGTTTGCCAACAGGATAGAGTGAAATTCTCATCTCTCTGCATGTGCAACTGGTTACGTGTCGCAAATCATTTTTTTGTTTTTGTTATTACGTTAAATACAGACAAACAGCATTCTTTTCTGGTACATAACCAAGCTCTACACATAATATAGTACGTATGTAATGTGTAGTGCCTATACTGTGTTTGCTAATCAAGAACAAGGACTCTCCGGTTAGTCGCCCGCTGCTTATTACGCCTAATTTGGTCTGGGCCCGAGGTGGGCTTAATAACCGGCTACTACTGTACTTGGAACTGGAGTCTGCACCATTAAAAAGCGGTACAACTCACACTGGCTCATAGGCAGTGCCTGTCTCAGGGATTTTTACAAGACAATCTCGGGTACGCCAAAGGCAGCCCAAGCTGAGTCCCCCCCACCAAAATCTAGTATCACTAAAGTACCCATCATTGTTAGAAAAATAAGACATATATTGTGGTTTCATTGAGTTGACTTAGTTGTCAAAAAATTCGACGGAATCGGTCGGATTCGAACCCACGCTAGCGAGGGGATGGCTTTAGTACAGCCAACGCTCTAGCCAAGTGAGCTATGGAGGCCCCACGGTAACCGTGATTTTACTTCTACTCGGGTTGATTTACGCGCCCTGTCTACTGCAACGTATAGAATCCGCCAAAGCTGGTACAGTAAGCTGACTGTCCAAGCAGGAATTTCGCAGCAATCAATCTAAAATCCACCAGGCACAATTGATTTTTTGGAGGGGTTTGACAGCTTTTTATAATTTAGTTGACCCACTTGGGAAAAGCAAATTCGGCTCCGAGCGGCAGACGGCTCGATAGCTCGGTTGGCTAAATTGTTAGTTGTTCTCGAGCCGTTCCTTGCTGGCTTGGTTTCGAATCCCACCGAGTCCATCGAAATTTTTACAAATGTGTCAATTGAATAATTCAAAGTTGCCGAACCCTTCCAAGTAATACTGCGTTAATTTATAAATACTGTTTTTTTTAGAAAATCTGAAAATTCCGAAAAAGTGAAAAACCGGGTTTACTGAGTAAATTTAAGTTTTAACTGTAAATAAAAACCTGTACATGCCAAAAACCGAGTGAATAAAGAAGCGCAAGTAAAATTATGATTGAAAATGATCCTTTTTTGAAAGCTTCGCCTACATATGCTTCCGTATTAGGCGCAATTTAAAAGAAGACTGCTACCAAACAGGCCAAAGTTCGAGCTTGTATTTCAACAGGGTTTCCGGCAAATTGCTCGCTGTTTCTTTCTTTCGTTTTTCATTGTTTGATATATGTTGGACTAAGGTAATCAGATATTCTTCATAGGATTAATATATTTTGTAAGCTCACATGTGGACCTACCGATCAGTGCAAAAAATAAATTCAAATGGAGTTGTCAAGT